TAGTCTGTGACCACTTGGGATGCCAGCGGGGAGGGGGGCCCTGGCCACCTAGGCCGTTCTTGTGCCCCTCAAAGTTTGCGCTGGGAGCAGAGTATGTGGCGAGTATTGCAGGGAAACCCAGCCCCAAATGCGCGCGAATGTTGCGCAGTTTGACACTTTTCTTATTTTATTTGGATGAAGTATCAGCTGTAGCCAGCCAGCCAACCAAAAATCCCTGCTGCGCCCCGCAGCCGCTGGGGCCCCCTCCCTGCGCTCAGACCCCCACACTTCGCGCGCAGGCCCTGGGAGCCGCAGTTTTGCGTATCCGGAGCGGGAAGGCTGATCCGGGAAGCCAGGACTCCCTCTCGGGGAAGGGCTGAGCACCTGTAGTGAGTGGGAGCTGCAGATGCTCAGCATCTCCCAGGATCTCCCTTGGGGAGCGTAGAGAGCCGCCCCATTCCCCCCAGCGCATCTAGGAAGCGCCGATGGCTGCGCTTTGCAGGGTAGCTAAGCCCCAGAGGCGTAGCGAGCGCCCTCCGACCGGCGGGGACCCCGCAAGGAGGGGGGCCCCTAAAAGTGGCAAAATAAATACCGCATTCCAGTTTCTGCATTGTAAGGGGCCCCGCCCGGACATATGTTCGGAGGGGGCCACGTTCTTTGTTGCTAAGCCCCATCCTGCAGCCCTGAGGGGCTCAACTTGCGCCGGCGAAGTGCGCCCGCCGGAGGGTTGCGCACTCGGGGTGAGGCTGTTGGTAATTAACCCGCCGGCTGCTGCCCTCCCGCTTGCTGCGCCTTCTGCAGGTGGAGCTGGGGGTGTTTTCCACCCTATTGTGTCGGATCGGCTTTTACCCCATGTACATTTGGTGTCAAGCCGTTTTCACCTTGAACACAGAATTTTAGCGGGACACGAGGAGACTGTAAATCGGGGCTAGAAAGCCTTCGTCGTGCATCAATTCCTCCCCCCCCTCTCCCGGCCATCTGTATGGAGTACCATGCCGCAAGTGTCTGCGGCGGGCTAAGGCTTCAGTCCTACAGAGCTGGGGGGGAGAGAGGGGTGGGATGGGGGGTGGGAGAGGAACAGGTCCTTCTGCATCGCAAAAAATGCGCGGCCGATCTCATTAAGGGGTGTGGGGGGGGGAAGCTGTCAGACACCCCGTGTTGCTCTCTTGGGGGTTCAGCGCTACGGTACCGTATGGATGTGTGTGATTCCGCTGCAGTCTGTCGCCAGCACAATGGAGTTGGGGGAGGGGGTGGGAAGAGGGTCTTGGTGGCATTTTGGGGCATTATTTACAGTGACATCCCTACTGAACTTTCTGGCATCTCGACTGATGGGTTGATTGAACGGCTCGTGTGTTTGGGGGAGGAGGGGTTGTTTTGTTTTTTCTGTTTTTTTTTTTAAGGGGCTTCTCAAAATGGTTGGGTTTCAGCAACGCTTGAGTTATAGACACACACTTCAAAGCTTCAATTTTCCACAGGAAATGGTACAAGCGTAACTGAACACTCGAAAATGAAATAAAACTTTATTTCATATGCGGTGGTTTGGCCAGAGACTGCGTGGTTGGAGCTCAGATGCAGTCTTTCTGGGCAGATTTCATTCATGTTGCTGCTTGTTTACCGAAAGCTTGACACAGATGCAACATGATGGTGCATCAACTTCCTGGGGATTTTTTTTTAGGAGGTGTCCAACGTTTTAATGGTTTAGCTCTCATTTAATAAAACCCCGGTGCCTGGAATTGAAATTTCTTCTATTGTCAGCTAACCTATATTCATAGGTTTAGGGAAAATGCAACAAACCTATGGATAGGTTTAGTGGACTCAAACTGAAACACACACACACACACACACACACACACTTTTCTCTCTCTCTCTATTAACCTAAAGGAAAATTTGTATACAGCTGAAAAGAAACGGAGTTCAGCTTCTGTCATGTCTACAATTTAACTCTAAGTTACTATAGCCTAACCATTGCTTTACGCACGATTACCTGTTTTGAGACATCCTTTCTCCCAGAAAGGATCTAGAGGGATGCAATACAGAGGCAAAACAAGGGGGTAGATCCCCAGCTGGGGTAAATTGTCATAGCTGCATCGATGTCAGCTTTCCATTATGGAGCTATGACCACCTCCACAAACTGATCTGCCCCAAGAGCTTTATTTAGCCTTAAATCAGAATTTCTTTGCTGTTAATGGGTTGTCTCTAATGATCCTTATGCTTTATTTTAACACAGTTTGTGTGTGCATGCATGCGTTCTCTTTAATGGTGTTACTGCCGTTTTTTTTCCGTTAGTCACATTATTGTGCCTGTACGTTTCAGATGGCACCATTTTTCATTTCTGGTGTTGCAGTGCTGTCCCTACAGACCTGTGTTGAGTCTTTCATTTTGTAACTCCCATCGTAGCACCTCTGTGGATTTAAATTAACTTAATTCATGACCCTCATTCATCTCATTTTCAGAGACTTTGAGTTTTTCCTCTCCATTTTGTTTGTTGCTTTACCTAGGAATACCTCATTTGTGGCTCAGTCCTGAGTCAAGCAAAACTCTCTGCCATCATTTGGAATCTTGCCTGAGTAAAGATGCTAGGATCAGACCATAACTAGTTCATCTTGCTTTGCCTCTTCCTCTAGGCTCCATCCCCTGCATCTCTGTCCTCTACATGTAAATGACTGAGTTCTTTATAGTTTTTTAATTTACAGTTTGGTATACTATCTTATATTAGTGGAGATTT